GGCGGGGTCAGCAGAGCTCATTAACATTTAAAGGAAAATGCTACAAAAACGGCTTGATCTGAACAGAGCTGTTTTTGACAGGGTAAAAAGGTGTTTTTTACACTACCATTGAGAAATTTTAACCAAACTATGTTGCAGGCTTTTCATTAAGACCCTAAAGAATCATATCAACTTGTAGAAAATGAGCATCCTGTGACCCCTTTAATAACTTCAGGTTGTAAAGTGATTATGAGCATGTGTAAATGAGTGTCCCCTCAGAAGTAAGGGCCCCGGGCTCTTAACTGAAGCCCCAGGCAGAGGCGGCTCACATCTGGACAGAGCTTTGTGTGTTTTCATTAAAATGGTTTAAAACAGCGGTGAAATCCAGCACAAATAATATAGCAGTGAGTATTTAAAAAAACGTATTTTATTTATTTGTCACGTCATGTTCCAGTCTTTGATTAATCAACTGTTAATGACTTGTAGACAGAACACACAAATTTATTTTTATTTAATTGTAAAATTGCATTGGTGGGAACAACAGATATTTAATAATTTGATCAAAATTATTGTTAGGGATAATTTAGTAGTGTCTGATATTGGTAGGATCATGTCATAGCGTCTATACTAAATTCTACAGCCTTGAAAATCATAACAAGCGATGTCTGACTTATAGTTCTCTCCTTAAATATGAAGAGATCAAACAACAGATTTTTGAGTTACTCCACATTTCACAAAAAGCTTATGAACGTAATTATATTAGTCAGACACTGAAGCGAGTTGCTGATTTTGTCTCTTTTGAGAAAGATTCATTCACTTGTTTTGCAATGAACCACACAGAGACATTTTGGTCAGATTTTTTTAATGTTCATCTGATCTCGTTTTGTAAGAGACTTTTCTTTCTGATTTAAAGATGTTTTCTTTGGATTGTTTAACGACTCGTAAGAGAATATAGGAAAATACAATTTTATTAATTTGTGTTTCCTGCTAGCTAAATTTCACAAACATAAACAAAAATCTGGCTCTAAATCTCTTTTCTTTTTTCAGCGTTGATCTAGACGAGTAGCCTACATGGAAACTATCCGAAGTTCTGTTCATCCTAAATCAGTGAAAACTGCATCTCTATACTTTTTTTTACTTTTTCATTTGTTTTGTTTTTGTAACTGTACTGCTTAATGGTTTGATGCCTTCGACTGTTTAATAAAAAAAGGAATCAGAAAAAAAGATTCGCGAACGCGAACCCGCAACTAAGTTCCGATCTGAAACAAATGACTCGCGATTCGAAGATTCGATCTGAAGCAAATGACTCACGATTTGCGCTCTGAAGTTCCAATCTGAATCAAATGATTAACCCGCGCCGTCCCAATCTGAATCAAGTGATTCGCGCTCCGAAGTTCCGATCTGAATCAAATGATTAACCCGCGCCGTCCCAATCTGAATCAAGTTATTTGCGCTCCGAAGTTCCGATCTGAATCAAAAGATTTGCGAACCCGCTCCGTAGTTCTGATCTAATGATTCGCGAACCATCATCTCAGATCAGGAATCGGAACGCGGATCGCTTTTTAAAACGTAGAAACTGCACCTTAGAAGTGGAATCAAATAACTTATGGGTATTCCAACAAATCCAGAGTATTTTAACAACAGTAGGCTGTCTCGAAGCGTTTCTCCCAGTCAGATATAGCTATCTGATGATTCAGCTGTTAAGTCTTACGCAGTTGTTAAATTCATAGTAAAGTGATACATACTTTATTCATAGTAAAGTGCGACAGTTTTTATTTTTGCCAATGTTTGTCCGATTTTAACGTTGCTGTTGCTACGTTTACCTCTTCATTGCCAAAAGAAAATACCTGCTCTGCCTCTAACGCACCTATAAAGTTACTGAAACTGTAAAAAATGTCACTTATAGGCTATGTGGAATTAAACCACTCTAGTATTTGTACTTAAGATATTCGAGAAAATCCAACACATATTTTAACAGTATAGGCTACGCTTTTTCCTCACAGACAGTCTTTGACGATTCCGTTGTTAAATACTCGTTTAAGTTTATTTTTATGTAGTTGTGAAATAAATTAATAGTGAAGTGATCCTAAATGGCGATAGTTCTTATTTTTGTCAACGTAGTAACTGAAGTCGCTGTTGCTATGGTTACTCCTCAGTTGAACGCGATTTTAGCGCCAGATAAAAATAGGCCTACCTACTCTGACACACTTGTAAACAGTGTTGGGGGTAACTCATTACAAGTAATGCGAGTTACGTAATCAGATTACTTTTTTCAAGTAACTAGTAAAGTAACGCATTACTTTTTTAATTTACAAGAAAATATCTGAGTTACTTTTTCAAAAAAATAATGCCAGTTACTTTGTTTTCCCATTTATTGACTGACAGCTCTCCTGTCCCCATATTGGGAGAAATCCTTGTAAATGTTCTAAACGTAGAAAATACCTAGAATTAAACGACTTTAGTATGGGTAAGAGCACTCCCCCACCTTACCTTTTGTCTCGAGGGTTCAAATCTCCGCAGTAATGTAAATGATTTCCGAGGCTCCTCCATGAACTCCGCCCTTCATGAACTCCTCTCACACCTCTAGAGTTCATCCCCGTTCACTCCTGGCCGGAGCTCCGACGGACAATAAACGCACGTATATGTGGGGTTTCTAGAGTTGTATAATGGCTCTTCTGCGCAGTGTTGGGCTTCTGGCTCTGCTGCTGGTGTCGGTCCGGTGTCTGATCCAGGAGCAGCTCTTCGATTACGGGATCCGGTTTGGCGACCAGATTCTGGATTCTGGAACCGATTCGGTTCGAGAGCTCGAGCTGGAGCAAACGCTCTTATTCTTCAAAGGAAAGTTCGACAAAGTTTACGTAAGTAACTTTTCAAAATGCATTTAAAGTTTTTCCTCTTTGTTGTTTTTCTTTTTTTTTATTCGCGCTAAGCATATTCATAATTATAACGCGTTTCCCCTAATATTTCCAGTGATTATGTTTAAATTGGCTAATTAATTTAAATAAAGGAAACTAGTGTATACAGATTATTTATAAAGGTTAAAACCGACACAAGTTCATTATCTGTATGCATGCATGAATGAATGAATGAAGTGAAATCGTACAATTTGTCCCCAAGAGATCCAAGAGGAAGCATGCATTTCTATAAGCATCTTATTGGGGATCATGTTTTGTATTTGCTAAAATACTTTAACTCCTATTGACCAAAAAAGCAAAAGTGTTCTCAAAAGTCATCTGTTGATCACTAAACATTTTCTATAGTCTACAAATCCAGCAGTTATTCAGTTCATATTAAGATGTCTGCCTCCCACTTTCTCTCCTTCTTGGTCTCGGAAGTTGTATATCTACAGTAAAAGCCCCCCATGGAAAGAAAACACTGGGGAGAGACATAAATATTTACTTTAGGTGTCTGTCCTGATGTGGTTTCTTTATAAATGTGCTCATTAGTCTTGCATGTTTGGGTTCTGGAGGTTGATCAGAGATCTACAGCTTTCTATTGCTCTAGTGTTTAACCAAATTGGTTCTATGCTTATGTTTTTCCATATTACACTCTTAAAATAAAGGTTTATTGACATTAAATGGTGGTTCCGTCTGGAATCTTTGGAATTGGACAAAATGTTCTTCACACTAAGTTCTTTTGAGAACTGTACACTTCTTTCGGGATCCAAAAATGGTCCTTTTCTCGCTTTGCTGCAAAAAACCGGAGTGTTGGAGCCTTTGCATGATATTTTCAATCACTGAGATGGTTTTACAGCTTTTTCTCCTCTGTTAACAATCAAACACGAACGTCTGTTGTTCCAGCAATTTCCAAACTTTAAAATTTTAACAGTGTCATTGTTTACTAATCATCTAACCATGCAGAAGCCAATCTGGAGACAATCAATATACAAAATGTTTAAGATGTTTCTCAATTAGGTTCATTTAATCAGCTTGGAAGCGTTGACCAGAATGACTTACTAACGTAATATTCAGTGTCTAGGAACGCCTCCAACTTATGATCTGCCAAAGCAGTTGGTTTTTATACACTAACTGTCTAGCGATATCTCACAACTTCCTCTGGGAATGACATTTTCCATATGGCTTGTCCACTGATAGCCAATGAATCCCTCCTTATGTGGGATGTTCCACAGAACTCATGGGAACGTTCCTGTTGTTGCAAAAACACAGAAAACACTGGCTCTTAGAAAGAGAAGTCAAGAAGTTCTTTTGTCCATCTCTCGGTAGACAGAAGTGCCATTGTATGTTTCTGTGATGGCCTTCTCGTTTTGTCTCCATGCATCGTTGGCGTTTTGCCAGAGGCTTCAGTGTAGATGACTTTGATGGCTCCAGCCCAGAGGTTTATATAAGCACTTCCTCCTGTCCAGCTGTGGTCCATTCATTTCTAACTGCATTTACATTCCTGATGGACCGTCTTCAACAAAGGTTGCCATGTTACCTGGTTTGAACACAATGAAAAAGTAGGAGGAGCTCCCATTCCCATTGGAACCTCAGGATTAGTTCAGGATTGTAAGGTACTCTGCTGGTTTTCCTCTAGATCTTGGTTTTAGATTGGACGTCAAGAACAAAAGATATGGGAAGTGTTTTTGACTTTCTAGCAGCTACCTGTTTCAATTACTTAGAGATGGGAAATAAGAACAAGATCATTTCCATGATTTAAGTCATTTTCAACCTAAGTATTCACTATGACAAAAGTAATTTTAAATGAAAATCGTTACCATTAAATAATTCATTTTCAACCAAAATATTCACAGACACAAGTCATTTTAAACTAAAATCTTTACCATTAAATTCATTTTCAGCCAAATTCTTTTCCATTAAATAATTCATTTTCAACCAAAATCTTTCCCATTAAATAATTCATTTTCAACCAAAACCTTTACCATGAAATAATTCATTTTCAACTAAAATTTTACCATGAAATAAGTCATTTTCAACCAAAATATTCACAGACACAAGTCATTTTAAACTAAAATATTTACCATTAAATAATTTTCAACTGAAATCTTTACCATGATATAAATAATTTTCAACCAAAATATTCACTATGACACAAGTATTTTTCAACTAAAATCTTTACCATAAATAATTCATTTTCAACCAAAATCTTTACCATAAGTAAGTTTCAGTCAAAATCTTTACCATGATACGAGTAATTTTTCAACCAGAATCTTTACTATGACTCAAATAATTTTCAACTAAAATCTTTACCATGAAATAAATAATTTTCAACCAAAATATTCACTATGACACAAGCAATTCAACCACAGTATGGTAACTCCACCACCTTATAGTAATTCTGTCTGAAATCAGATAAACTAATAATTAAAATTAAAGCCATACCTTATATTTCCCAACACTGTCACTTAAATGGCGTCTACTTAAATTTGGGAAATGAACATTAATCACACCATATTTGGAGTCTCTACCTCAATCCCTCTAGCGCCACCAACTGTCCAAATTTGCACTCAAGCTTATGCTAAAAAAAGGGCTAGAAACAAATTTTTCTGTTTTTTTTTCATCATATCGCCCAGGCATTATTGACATAACAGTGTGACTTTCTATAAAGCTGCTTTGAAACGATGCATATTGTGCAATGAAAATAAATTTGCCTTGACTTTTTCCGTTCTTGCCATAGGGAATTGTGTTGGTAGCATGCAGAGCGTCACCACTCTATAGAATTCGAGCGATGCTTCAGACACGATCTGTTTCTTCTTTAACTCTTCGTTTGTTTCCCGTACCCCTGCCGTCTGGGTCGAGGTTGTGTCGCTCCTCCAGGTGGCTTAGATATCTCCTGGCCTCCCCTGAGGCGATGCATGTGTGAGGAGCAGCTGCAAGAGCTCATGGGGGTTGATAGTGGGGTCAGCGCTCGAATCTACTGCAAAACTCTTTGATTCTGTGAACAATCTCCAGTCCATCTTCCATAAAGCCAAGAGTTATCGTTGTTAATTTCTGTAGCGATGTAAGACGAGCTGAAGTTTAGCAGTGAATCTCGACCTTTATGACTCTAAAACCCTCCGTTATTCACAACGATATTGAAGAGCCAACACTTCAAGTTTCTGATAAATAATTAAATATCACGATTTTGTACATTTTAAGAGCTGAATGTTTTTAAAGCATTGTGGTATTTCTAATTTGCATGACATTTTTCAATTTTTTTCTGATTTACTGGATAAAAGGATAAAAAAAATTGAATCAGATTTTTTTTACGTTCTGATTTCTAATTTCTATAAACTTTGCAATGCGTAAAGAATATGCAATGTTTTGTCTCGCAATATGCAAGAATATCCAAAGTTTTTTTCTTGCAAAATGCAAAAAGATGCTAAATTTATTATTGCAATATGCAGGACGATGCAACGTTTTTTTTATTGCAATATCCAAGAATATGCAAAGTTTTTGTCTTGCAATATACAAGAAAGTGTAAAGTTTATTATTGCAATATGCAAAAATATGCAAAGTTTTTGTCTTGCGATATACAAGAAAGTGTAAAGTTTATTATTGCAATATGCAAAAATATGCAAAGTTTTTGTCTTGCGATATGCAATATTCACTGCTGAGCTGCAGCCATGAATTAAATAATTAGATTTCAACAAATTCAACAATTAAATAATTTCTATATCACAATTTCAGAAGTTTTAAGAGCTTAATTTTTTCAAGATTCATGTTGTATTTATTGGATAAGTATAAAGGATAATGGTTTTTAAAAAATATCTTTTGCTCACAGTCTCTACACTGAATAAAATTTGGCGTAGAAACCATTTTTACTCTGAAATTGCTAGTAAATTCAACACATAATTGCAAAGAAACTGTATATGACACATTGAATCAAACATGAAATTTTGCAGTAGGAAGACTGAAATAGTGTATTTTTTACAACTTAGAATAACAACTTTTTACAACTTTTAAGATTTAAGAACATTTCAATCACTTCATTAAAAATTAATCTTCCTCATATATCTATATTGTCCAAGACCGTATGAATCCTGTTTTTTTCAGAGATAAATCAGTTGTTGAGGGGGTGAATTAAAATCAGAAATATCTTTATTTTTAGCTAACTTTAATGCATATTTTAAATAATTTTAAGTCAACTTAGAAATCTGGCCCTCTTTTTGAGAACCAGTGGCTTAGAGGTTTGTTCAAATCACTGATCATAACTATGAGCTTTAGTAATAGTTGTGCTTAACTTGATAAGATGTTGTCTAAAGTGCCTCTGAATAATAGCAGAAGTTTGAGGGAAATCTGTTGTGTAATTTGAGACTTGTGTGAATTATTCTGACTCCTAGAAACAGAGACGTCTTCCATCAGATCACATGACGAAACTGCAAATGACCCAAGAAAAGTGTGTTAATCCTTTAAACGTTTGTTTCAGCTGTTGGAGACTCTACATCGAGCTGAAGTCAATAGCTGGTGTTCTTCCAACTGCTTCAGTCACTCATGCATGCATCTCTTTAGGATGAAAGCACGGTTATCGGGGTTTCAGGGTTTTTCTTTGCACGTTTGACGCTTGAATGGTTTTGTTGCTAAAGGAAAAGCATTGGATTGAAATGGTTTCAAGCTAAAGTAGACTAATCTTGTGTTTTAATAGCTGTATTTCCAGACTCACGCATGTCGGTTTAGTGGTTCAACAACCAGCAGACGTCAAACACAGAGTGTGGGGGTTTGATTTTATCACTTTGGTGTGAAGAACGTCCTCCGTTATTTAAGGTTCAAGATCCTGAGAAGCCAGCCAGTCTGGATTTTGTTACAGAACTATTTGTTATACTTTGTTTGCCATTATTGCTTGATCTTTTAGATTTAAATCTAGTGTAAGCAGTAAGGGATTGGACAAGACCTTCTTTTCACATGTTTTGCGGCTTCCCTGCAGTTTTACTTAAGTAGTTGCCAGAAACTCGTTAAAGAAAAGCTTTTACACACACAAACATGCCGAGTTTAAATGGCACAACACCTTTTGAAGTGTGAAGGCATTCGACTGTAACGAGCACCATCACCGTTAGGAAAGAAAGATCACAGAAAAACATCGCTGTTTGTTTTAGGCTTCAAGCTATGATGCAGAAAAACATCTAATAATTTGCAGTTTTTCAGAGCAGACATTTTACTTGTATTTAATGCAAGAACAGCTAAAAGAGTCACGAGCCATTGATTCTCACTCGTATGAATTATTACTAAACAAAACAAAATGTATGCTTGCTATTAAAAACCACAACATTTATAAGAAAAACATATTGGATTTTGCAGTTGTTTACAAGCAGGGCTGTTTTATGCTTTATTGATCCCTTCATTGATTTCAGCCAGAAACGGTTACTGTGAGCATTGCTTTTGTGCCTTAAGCAGTTTTATTGAAATATGCAAGAACATGCAACATTTTGTATTACAATATGCAATGTTTTTATTGCAATATGTAAGAATATACAATATGTTTTATTGCTATATGCAAGAATATGCAACATTTTTTATTGCAATATGCAATGTTTTTATATGCAAGGATATGCAATACGTTTTATTGCAATAAGCAAGAATATGCTACATTTTTTTAAATTGCAAAATGCAAGAATATGCAAAGTTTTTACTACAATATGCAAGAAAATGCAACATTTTTATTGCAATATGTAAGAATATGCAATACGTTTTATTGCAATATGCAAGAATATGCAACATTTTTTTAATTGCAAAATGCAAGAATATGCAAAGTTTTTATTACAATATGCAAGAAAATACAACATTTTGTATTGCAATATGAAATGTTTTTATTGCAATATGCAAGAATATGAAACATTTTTTTAATTGCAAAATGCAAGAATATGCAAAGTTTTTATTACAATATGCAAGAAAATACAACATTTTGTATTGCAATATGAAATGTTTTTATTGCAATATGCAAGAATATGAAACATTTTTTTAATTGCAAAATGCAAGAATATGCAAAGTTTTTATTACAATATGCAAGAAAATGCAACATTTTCTATTGCAATATGCAAGAATATGCAATGTTTTTATTGCAATATGCAAGAACATGCAACATTTTGTATTGCACTATGCAATGTTTTTATATGCAAGAATATGCAATACGTTTTATTGCAATAAGAAAGAATATGCAACATTTTTTATTGCAAAATGCAAGAAAATGTACAAGAGTGTGCAACGTTTCTATTGTCTTATGCAAGAATATGATAAGTTTTTATTGAAGTATTCAAAAATATGTGAAGTTTTTGTGCGATATGTAAGAAAAGAAGTTCTGCTCTCTAGTTATGCATGTCTGTAGAATTTTTCACCTTTTTTACCGCTCCTCAACAAGCCACATGATATGTATTGTTATTCCTTAAGTTATGCACATAAGTGTAATACATTAGCACTCACGGTGTCGTTTAATTCAAAACTAATTTATTTTACCTGTACATATCAGTTCCCTTTCAGTCGGTCACTCTCGACGTCACGTCGGATGACCGACGAAATTGGGATCTCGCTTAGAGAGACCAATCCACTTCGAGTGTAAACTAAACGAGCCAATGCACATTGGCATGCGATTATTGCATCCAGCTGCTGCTGATCACAGCGTGAGTATAAGTAGGCAGCAGATGCAGCGCATATTCAGCTTTTCGCTTCGGAGCCGAGCGATCACATCGTTCTGCTCCTGACTACTCTACTGAGAGAAGAAGACTGATCCGACGTGACGTCTCCGTTCCCTCCTTCAGGGAACGAGGGTTACCATACGTAACCGAGACGTTTCTCTCCAAGCCACTGTCATAAAAAAACCAAAACAGATTCATATTGGTTTAGATGTCTACTTATTTATGTTTCATGTCACACACTCTGCAGGTCAGCACCAATGGCTTCATATCTCTGGCTGAACCCACCGATGAGTCTGAGTACCTGGGGAAGATGCCGGCCAGTTTTGGTATGATTGCAGCCTTCCTGGGAGATCTGGACACCACTGATGGGGCCGGTCACGTCTTTTTCCGCCAGGATAAAAGCCCTGATGTGCTCCAGAGAGCCGCAGAGCACATCGGCCAAGCATTTCCTTCTGATGACGGGATCGAACCCACTCACACCATCATCGTCACCTGGGAGAATGTGGCGCCTCAGTCTGAACGAGGAAGAGGAGATGAATATGAATATACGGTACATCCCTCAATTCTGAATGTTTTGCACTTACAAAAGTTAATTATGAAGCCGGCACAACAGCATCTACAAGTCAAGTCACCTTTATTTAAGTTTTTATTGCGATATGCAAGAATATGCAAAGTTATTGTTTTGCAGTATGCAGGAATATGGATTTTTTTATTGCAATATGCTAAAAATATGTAGATATTGTCTAGTAGTATGCAATAATATGCATTTTTTTATGCAAAATGCAAGAATGTGCAAAGTAATTGTTTTGCAATATGTAAGAATATGCAGTGTTCAAATGCAATTTTCAAATATATGCAAAGTTATTGTTTTGCAATATGCAAGAATATGAAACATTTTTTTAATTGCAAAATGCAAGAATATGCAAAGTTTTTATTACAATATGCAAGAAAATACAACATTTTGTATTGCAATATGAAATGTTTTTATTGCAATATGCAAGAATATGAAACATTTTTTTAATTGCAAAATGCAAGAATATGCAAAGTTTTTATTACAATATGCAAGAAAATGCAACATTTTCTATTGCAATATGCAAGAATATGCAATGTTTTTATTGCAATATGCAAGAACATGCAACATTTTGTATTGCACTATGCAATGTTTTTATATGCAAGAATATGCAATACGTTTTATTGCAATAAGAAAGAATATGCAACATTTTTTATTGCAAAATGCAAGAAAATGTACAAGAGTGTGCAACGTTTCTATTGTCTTATGCAAGAATATGATAAGTTTTTATTGAAGTATTCAAAAATATGTGAAGTTTTTGTGCGATATGTAAGAAAAGAAGTTCTGCTCTCTAGTTATGCATGTCTGTAGAATTTTTCACCTTTTTTACCGCTCCTCAACAAGCCACATGATATGTATTGTTATTCCTTAAGTTATGCACATAAGTGTAATACATTAGCACTCACGGTGTCGTTTAATTCAAAACTAATTTATTTTACCTGTACATATCAGTTCCCTTTCAGTCGGTCACTCTCGACGTCACGTCGGATGACCGACGAAATTGGGATCTCGCTTAGAGAGACCAATCCACTTCGAGTGTAAACTAAACGAGCCAATGCACATTGGCATGCGAT